CTACAGCCTCAGTCCTGGGTCTACAGCCTCAGTCCTGGGTCTACAGCCTCAGTCCTGGATCTACAGCCTCAGTCATGGATCTACAGCATCAGTCCTGGATCTACAGTCTCAGTCCTGGGTCTACAGCCTCAGTCCTGGATCTACAGCCTCAGTCCTGGATCTACAGCCGCAGTCCTGGATCTACAGCCTCAGTCCTGGATCCTACTCTACTTTACTCCAGCTCGACCTGGATAGAACCAGGATCAAGAGGGACTAAAGAAGGACCTGGGACTGGTTGAACAGGACCAGAGGAAACACTCCCAATCAGAGTAGAGTAGAGTAGAGTAGAGTAGGGTAGAGTAGAGTAGAGTAGAGTAGGGTAGACTAGAGTAGAGTAGAGTAGAGTAGAGTAGAGTAGAGTAGAGTAGAGTAGAGTAGAGTAGAGTAGAGTAGGGTAGGGTAGGGTAGGGTAGGGTAGGGTAGGGTAGGGTAGAGTAGAGTAGAGTAGTAGAGTAGAGTAGAGTAGGGTAGGGTAGGGTAGGGTAGGGTAGGGTAGGTAGAGTAGAGTAGAGTAGAGTAGAGTAGAGTAGAGTAGAGTAGGGTAGGGTAGAGTAGAGTAGAGTAGAGTAGAGTAGAGTAGAGTAGAGTAGAGTAGAGTAGGGTAGAGTAGAGTAGAGTAGGGTAGAGTAGAGTAGGGTAGGGTAGAGTAGAGTAGAGTAGGGTAGAGTAGAGTAGAGTAGAGTAGGGTAGAGTAGAGTAGGGTAGGGTAGAGTAGAGTAGAGTAGAGTAGTAGTAACAAGGCTATAGTCACCAGAGCTGCCCTCTACCACACTGTTGAACCATCACATGTTGTGATGTCACATGTTGTGATGTCACATGTTGTGATGTCACACGTTGTGATGTCACACGTTGTGATGTCACATGACGGCAGCCTCTTCCCACAGCCGGGTATGGAGACTTCTGCCTCTGCCGTCTGGATGTGGAGCCACTAATCACTGGATGAGGACTTTAATGAATGATCCCAGTGCAGTCTCTCATGATAAATACTAATGAGTCTCCACAGAGCGGGCAGTGTGGGAGACGAAAGATGAAGAACGAGCAGGAAGAACGAGCAGGAAGAATGGATCAGAACGACAGCAGCAGATGGAGCAAAGACTGATGGTGTGAGTGTGTGTCACTGCCAAAGTCTGCCTTTTCTTATGTTGTTTCTCTACTTTCTAAAATACATTCTCTCACAGTACTGCTCTGGGAGAATGTTCTAGCGCCGAGGAGCATCCTGTTGGAGATGTTGTGGATCTTAAACACAGCACACACTTAAACAAGACACTTATGTTTTCATTCATGTGTCAACTTTTATCAAATTATCAAATTCTATATTTAAAGGAGCAGTGTGTCAACATGTGGCCAAAAGTGGTACTGCAGCCTCTCCCACTCTCCCTGACTCAGGTTGCCAGATATGCAGACGAATCCAGCTGGGACCATAACAGCTGAATAGACAAGAGTTTTGTCAACAACAAATCTATAACCAACACCTTTTTCACAAAGATAGAAATCCTGCTTTTATTCCTTGTTTTGTCGTTAATGATTTGAGAATCATAACAAGACCTGTTTTAGTTCTGCGCCACATGGTACTTTACCAGTGAGATTAGCTTGACACGGTGAGTTCTGGCGCCCGGATCACAGACTTTCTGATTGGTGAAACGGTGGAGGGCGGGACATCGAAATGAAAACAATAACAAGATTTAGAGGCTGGAAAAGTAATTTAGAAACTCAAATATCTCTGAACTCCATCAACAGTTAAAAAGCAGCTATATCGTTTGGAAATATAATAAAATGGTTTTCAATTGAGTGAATCGACGATGCCATGAAGCAAAACCAGGGACAGTTGGAGAGGATTTTCTATACAGTATTTTTAGCCCTAAATCTTGCAACCAACAAACTCCAAACACCATAACGCTGCTGCTTTCCTGTCGCTTTGGGCCATTTTGGACTGAAATGCAGAGAAAGGACAATATGGACATGTTCTTACAGCGCAGTGGTTTATTGTGTGTTTAAAACTGAAGGATTAGATCAGCCTGAAATAGCTAAAAGCAAAAAGAAAAGTATTTGTTCTGCTTCCAACGACATAAATGATACTTAGTATATTTAGTGGAAGCAAACATCAAACATATAGGAGCAGGAACTGAGGCTGTAGACCCAGGACTGAGGCTGTAGACCCAGGACTGAGGCTGTAGACTCAGGACTGAGGCTGTAGACCCAGGACTGAGGCTGTAGACCCAGGACTGAGGCTGTAGACCCAGGACTGAGGCTGTAGATCCAGGACTGAGGCTGTAGATCCAGGACTGAGGCTGTAGACCCAGGACTGAGGCTGTAGACCCAGGACTGAGGCTGTAGACCCAGGACTGAGGCTGTAGACCCAGGACTGAGGCTGTAGATCCAGGACTGAGGCTGTAGATCCAGGACTGAGGCTGTAGACCCAGGACTGAGGCTTTTGTTATCATTTTTCACTTAATATGCTTAAACATGTCCATAAACGTTCTTAAATCTCCTCGTATATTGCTCCAACTTTAATCCATTTCATAAGTCACGTTTTATTTTACCGTCGGCCTCATTAAAACACAAATCTCTCGAGAACCGGTTTTCCTCACGCTCTGCAGACGGCAATAATAAAGTGGGGGAATAATGCCGACCAAAATAACCATCGAAGCGTGGATTTCCATATGAATAATAGCCTGGTCATCCACGCTAATTTGCTAAGCTAATGTTCTCCAGCGACCTTAATGGGGATATTAGCCTGGGAAATTAGCATTGACAAACGAGCAAACAGGAAGTGCCTCGGTCGGTCGCGGCGCCGGATCACATCTGCTTGTTCGCGCCGGTGTCGATCGTGAATTAGCGAACGTAGATTTCAATAAATGGGTTCAGACAGAAGGTGCGGGGGTCTGAGCTGATGTTAGCCTCACGCTTCGCTAGCTACGTTTGGGGATGTTTATGTGGAGGGTTGATCGTAGAACACCTGTTGCTACGACGACGATAGAGAACCCTGATCTGTTTGTATTGTAGAAATGTGTTATTATGAGTAAATATGAACAACAAAAACTACAATATTACTGTCTCTGAACTGCATTACTTTGAAGTTACTTTCACCAAATATATAAATACTTCTGAGGGGCGACAGTAGCTCCGTTGGTAGAGCATTGGCCTTTGAGCCTGAAGGTTGTGGGTTTGAGTCCACCTTTGCCCCACATTCGCTCTCACAAACACACACTCATTCATCCTGAAATACCGCACATGTTTTTAGCGGTAGGGGAACCCGGAGTACCTGGAGGAAATCTACACAGACACGGGGAGAACACGCAAACTCCACTGAAGGCCCTGTTCCGACCGGGATTCGAATGCAGAACTAACCCCGTGCTAACCACTCAGCCGCCGGTGCTAGCGTGAGGTTGCTTTTGGTTCGAACATAAACTTAAACCGTTATGTTCCACATCTTAAAACAAACTCAGCCTCAGCGTCTTCTACCAGAGAGGAATCAGTTATGTGCTCAAAAACACACGGAATAAATGTGTCTTCGGGTCATCTGAGTGGAATCTTTGTGAAAGCTCTGGTGTGACGGCGGCAGGAGAACAATCACATGTTTAAGATTGTTGTATTGGTTTAGAAACAGTTGGAGGTTTTGGCAGTTATGTGCATGAATGTGATCACAGAAGAAGAAGAAGTCCCACAGAAAACACTCTGCTGCAAAGTTGAAAAGTCCTGGATCTACAGCCTCAGTCCTGGGTCTACAGCCTCAGTCCTGGGTCTACAGTCTCAGTCCTGGGTCTACAGCCTCAGTCCTGGGTCTACAGCCTCAGTCCTGGGTCTACAGCCTCAGTCCTGGGTCTACAGCCTCAGTCTTCTGCATAAAACTATCTACAATGAAGTTATATCATAAAAACACATCAATCAGGTCTAAATTTTCCATCAATTTCTTTTAAATTAGCAGCAAAATAATGCAAAGCAGCCATTGTGCCGAAGTGACGATCGCCCGAGCTCCAGCTCCTGCCGCTCTCCATCAGAGACACACAAATGACAAATAAGACGGTAATCATAATAACCATTTTCATCAAGCTTCCGACGCAAACACAGCCAGAGGAAATGACATCTATCTGCGCGGAGATCCCACTGAGGACAGGACGCTCCACTCGGAAACGAGGAGGAGGAAGAATAACAAGTCATTTTAAAGCTGAGGTTTTAGTTCCAAGTCTGTATCACGACCAACCTCTGATAATGTGAACCCAAAACTGTATTCATTAAAAGATGAATATATATAGATACAGTTCATCCCAGATTTTTCCCCTCTAGGATTTACCACAGCAAGCCAATGTTGCAAATCTGCGTCCCAAAAATCTTTCCGAAAAGAGTCAGGATTGTGTATTACTGCCCCTGATGATAACTTTCCCCAAATATCAGATAATTCCTGTCATTCAAACATTCTTGGGTCCAAAGTAAATAGTTTCTGAGCCAGGATCCCATGAAGATGGATTGTGTTTTTGTTGTTGCTCTAAATATAGGAACCCAGACTTTACACTCGAGCTTTTGGAAGTTTAACAATGTGCCTATCTTTCCATCATGTTTCTCCAGAATCAGAGAGTTATGATTTGGTTTCGGGCAAAGAAGAATTGAAATTGCAGCGAAAGAAGAAGAAAAAAACATCAGTGAAGAGAAAACACATTTTCAGGCCAAACGAAAATGTAGTTATGTTTTTATCTGATTTGAATTTATTTTCACTTGGTTTGAGACATTTTCCAAACGACCAAGAATATCTTCATATTAAAAATGTAGCAGTTCTGTTAGCTGTTAGCTACTGGGTTAGCTACTACATTAGCTAGTACTGGGCATTACAAAGTACATCCTTGACATGTTAGTGCCACATGAACCAACTGGGACTCTGAGGAGCACAGGGACTGGCCTCCTGCTGGTACTCTGAGGAGCACAGGGACTGGCCTCCTGCTGGGACTATTTTGACAACTTCCTGTCTAATGGAAACAATAAATGAAATCAGAGCCTCTGGTCTCTCCTCAGACCGGTCCTTCTCACAGACACACAGCCTACAGACGGTCCGAGCCTCTGGTCTCTCCTCAGACCGGTCCTTCTCACAGACACAGCCTACAGACGGTCCGAGCCTCTGGTCTCTCCTCAGACCGGTCCTTCTCACAGACACACAGCCTACAGACGGTCCGAGCCTCTGGTCTCTCCTCAGACCGGTCCTTCTCACAGACACAGCCTACAGACGGTCCGAGCCCCTGGTCTCTCCTCAGACCGGTCCTTCTCACAGACACACAGCCTACAGACGGTCCGAGCCTCTGGTCTCTCCTCAGACCGGTCCTTCTCACAGACACACAGCCTACAGACGGTCCGAGCCTCTGGTCTCTCCTCAGACCGGTCCTTCTCACAGACACACAGCCTACAGACGGTCCGAGCCTCTGGTCTCTCCTCAGACCGGTCCTTCTCACAGACACACAGCCTACAGACGGTCCGAGCCTCTGGTCTCTCCTCAGACCGGTCCTTCTCACAGACACACAGCCTACAGACGGTCCGAGCCCCTGGTCTCTCCTCAGACCGGTCCTTCTCACAGACACACAGCCTACAGACGGTCCGAGCCTCTGGTCTCTCCTCAGACCGGTCCTTCTCACAGACACACAGCCTACAGACGGTCCGAGCCCCTGGTCTCTCCTCAGACCGGTCCTTCTCACAGACACACAGCCTACAGACGGTCCGAGCCCCTGGTCTCTCCTCAGACCGGTCCTTCTCACAGACACACAGCCTACAGACGGTCCGAGCCCCTGGTCTCTCCTCAGACCGGTCCGTCTCACAGACACACAGCCTACAGACGGTCCGAGCCCCTGGTCTCTCCTCAGACCGGTCCTTCTCACAGACACACAGCCTACAGACGGTCCGAGCCTCTGGTCTCTCCTCAGACCGGTCCTTCTCACAGACACACAGCCTACAGACGGTCCGAGCCTCTGGTCTCTCCTCAGACCGGTCCTTCTCACAGACACACAGCCTACAGACGGTCCGAGCCCCTGGTCTCTCCTCAGACCGGTCCTTCTCACAGACACACAGCCTACAGACGGTCCGAGCCTCTGGTCTCTCCTCAGACCGGTCCTTCTCACAGACACACAGCCTACAGACGGTCCGAGCCTCTGGTCTCTCCTCAGACCGGTCCTTCTCACAGACACACAGCCTACAGACGGCCCGAGCCCCTGGTCTCTCCTCAGACCGGTCCGTCTCACAGACACACAGCCTACAGACGGTCTGAGCCTCTGGTCTCTCCTCAGACCGGTCCGTCTCACAGACACACAGCCTACAGACGGTCCGAGCCCCTGGTCTCTCCTCAGACCGGTCCTTCTCACAGACACACAGCCTACAGACGGTCCGAGCCCCTGGTCTCTCCTCAGACCGGTCCTTCTCACAGACACACAGCCTACAGACGGTCCGAGCCTCTGGTCTCTCCTCAGACCGGTCCTTCTCACAGACACACAGCCTACAGACGGTCCGAGCCTCTGGTCTCTCCTCAGACCGGTCCTTCTCACAGACACACAGCCTACAGACGGTCCGAGCCTCTGGTCTCTCCTCAGACCGGTCCTTCTCACAGACACACAGCCTACAGACGGTCCGAGCCTCTGGTCTCTCCTCAGACCGGTCCGTCTTCACAGACACACAGCCTACAGACGGTCCGAGCCTCTGGTCTCTCCTCAGACCGGTCCTTCTCACAGACACACAGCCTACAGACGGTCCGAGCCCCTGGTCTCTCCTCAGACCGGTCCGTCTCACAGACACACAGCCTACAGACGGTCCGAGCCCCTGGTCTCTTTTCAGACCGGTCCTTCTCACAGACACACAGCCTACAGACGGTCCGGGCCTCTGGTCTCTCCTCAGACCGGTCCTTCTCACAGACACACAGCCTACAGACGGTCCGAGCCCCTGGTCTCTCCTCAGACCGGTCCTTCTCACAGACACACAGCCTACAGACGGCCCGAGCCCCTGGTCTCTCCTCAGACCGGTCCGTCTCACAGACACACAGCCTACAGACGGTCCGAGCCCCTGGTCTCTCCTCAGACCGGTCCGTCTCACAGACACACAGCCTACAGACGGTCCGAGCCTCTGGTCTCTCCTCAGACCGGTCCTTCTCACAGACACACAGCCTACAGACGGTCCGAGCCTCTGGTCTCTCCTCAGACCGGTCCTTCTCACAGACACACAGCCTACAGACGGTCCGAGCCCCTGGTCTCTTTTCAGACCGGTCCTTCTCACAGACACACAGCCTACAGACGGTCCGAGCCTCTGGTCTCTCCTCAGACCGGTCCGTCTCACAGACACACAGCCTACAGACGGTCCGAGCCTCTGGTCTCTCCTCAGACCGGTCCTTCTCACAGACACACAGCCTACAGACGGTCCGAGCCTCTGGTCTCTCCTCAGACCGGTCCGTCTCACAGACACACAGCCTACAGACGGTCCGAGCCCCTGGTCTCTTTTCAGACCGGTCCTTCTCACAGACACACAGCCTACAGACGGTCCGGGCCTCTGGTCTCTCCTCAGACCGGTCCTTCTCACAGACACACAGCCTACAGACGGTCCGAGCCCCTGGTCTCTCCTCAGACCGGTCCTTCTCACAGACACACAGCCTACAGACGGCCCGAGCCCCTGGTCTCTCCTCAGACCGGTCCGTCTCACAGACACACAGCCTACAGACGGTCCGAGCCCCTGGTCTCTCCTCAGACCGGTCCGTCTCACAGACACACAGCCTACAGACGGTCCGAGCCTCTGGTCTCTCCTCAGACCGGTCCTTCTCACAGACACACAGCCTACAGACGGTCCGAGCCTCTGGTCTCTCCTCAGACCGGTCCTTCTCACAGACACACAGCCTACAGACGGTCCGAGCCCCTGGTCTCTTTTCAGACCGGTCCTTCTCACAGACACACAGCCTACAGACGGTCCGAGCCTCTGGTCTCTCCTCAGACCGGTCCTTCTCACAGACACACAGCCTACAGACGGTCCGAGCCTCTGGTCTCTCCTCAGACCGGTCCTTCTCACAGACACACAGCCTACAGACGGTCCGAGCCTCTGGTCTCTCCTCAGACCGGTCCTTCTCACAGACACATAGCCTAAAGACGGTCCGAGCCTCTGGTCTCTCCTCAGACCGGTCCTTCTCACAGACACACAGCCTACAGACGGTCCGGGCCTCTGGTCTCTCCTCAGACCGGTCCTTCTCACAGACACACAGCCTAAAGACGGTCCGGGCCTCTGGTCTCTCCTCAGACCGGTCCTTCTCACAGACACACAGCCTAAAGACGGTCCGAGCCTCTGGTCTCTCCTCAGACCGGTGCTGCACTGACACATGAGTTTACCAAGTAAGGATTATGTCATCTATAATGTTTAGCACCAGCTCTGTTCCAGCAGGAAATGTCCGTCTGCAGCACATCATCCCAGAATTACTTCCTTTAACGATTACGCCGTAAAACCAGTGGCTGCGTGCCCTGGCTCCAGCCGCCGCAGCCGCCGCACACCGTAAATACCGGAGACGTCTACAATGAGAACATCTGTAGCTTACTTCAAGTGCCTCCAGAATAATAAAGCAGAGAATATGTTTTCACGAGCGCGGGTCCCAGGCCAAGAGGATAAAAGTGCTGCACGAGTCCCAAGGTGCGGTTCTGTACGCCTCCCCCCTCCCCCCTCGGCTGGTTAGAATAAAGCTTTATCTTTTTATAACTGCGGGGAAACTCGGAGGTAAACGCCGGTGTATATAAAAATACACAGAAGAAGAAGGAGCAGCTCGCAGCTTCCCCAGCGGCAAACAATCTGTGCTTTCCCCCAGAGGCAAAATACTACCTCAGCTACGGCGTTAGCATCCGCAGAATCCTCCAATCAGGGCTCAGGATTTCAGAGGAGTTATAGTTTGGAAACGGCATTCTCTCTGGCATAGACTGTGTATGTAGCTGGACTATACGAATGGATCTGCGGAAAATCAGAAGCGGTTACCTCCTCTATTCTTGGGTTTCAGATGACGTCAGGGCAGTGGCGTGAATAACAAACGTGGGACAGGACGTGACGTGTCCTGGCGGTGCAGTCTGCCGGGTTTATACACGGAGATATAGTAGAAGAAGAAGCGCTGTCAAAACGCCATCTTTTTGTGCGGTGTACGCTTGTAGCAACCGCACAAATAGAGAAGACCAGAGTTTGTTCATGGTCCAACTGTGGTCTCATATAAAGAAGGACACTTCACAATCACTGGAACGAGGCGGGCGAGGTGGATCAAGGCTTTCCCAGATAAGCGCCCCCTGCAGGCCACCCCAATGAAACGCAGCAATTTCTTCTGTTTTTCTTTCCAAAAATGCCCAAAATCAAGACTCTTTTGATAAATATTTGTTAGTCCTCCCTTAGAATTGAGTGTCCCCGATTAAGACTGTTCCAACAACCGTACACCGCACAGGAGGAGAGCCTTTGACTCCAAAACAGACTTTACATGGTTTTCAGTGGGAGCAACACTGAGTGGTCCCACCTCTGCAACACTGAGTGGTCCCACCTCTGCTCATCCGCCCCCTACTGGCCAGTTTAATGAAACACAAGAATATCTCAGGGCGACAGTAGCTCAGTTGGTAGAGCATTGGCCTTTAGGCCAGAAGGTCGTGGGTTCAATTCCCACCTCTGCACCTTCTCCACCGACTCCCACTGATGACTGCTGTCGTTGTGTCCTTGGACAAGACACTTAACCCCACTTTGCCCAAAGCCCCCACTGAAAGATCAAGGCTATGCTCACAGTCAGAGAGCAGCCGTCCTCCTGTGGACTCACCACCTGCAGAGGGTCAGTGAGGGGCTGGTGCTATGAGACTTGGGTGGCATCTCTGACTGCCACCCCCCTGACCCAGAAATGGATTAAAGGGTAGAAAATGGATGGAAAATGGATGGATGGAAGAATATCTCAGTAACTTCACGTCACTCACCATTTTGGGCTTAAAAATCTATGGTTTTAAGCTGTCATCAATCCTGGTGTTTATTTTAAAACATATATACAGAATGTAACTATTATTATGTGAACATGTGAACAAAGCAATTTCATGAAAGAAACAAATGAATAAATACAAAAATACAAAAAGAAAAGTACAATATTGTCTTTGTGAATCCAGGCGTGAGTCCAATGAACCGACCAATCAGGAGCCTTCTGCTGTTAGCATGTGGTTCTGTGTTTTGGCTGCTGTGGTCCAGAGTTGGCACAAAACTGATCTATTCTGAGTGGGAACTTTTTAAAGCGCTGAATTGTAATTATTATGGAGAAAATGTGAATATATGTGTAAGCAGTAAGTCTGTCTGTGGAAAATCAAGCTCACAGGGACGGATTCTTATAACACGGACACACAATCACAGCAGATACACAACGGAGCTGTTGGGACCTACACAAAGCAGATCACTTGTATAGCTATTTATGATAATAGATAGACAGATAGAGAGAGATAGAGAGAGAGAGAGATAGAGAGAGAGATACATATATAGAGAGAGAGAGATAGCTATACAGAGAGAGAGAGAGAGAGAGAGATAGATAGAGAGAGATAGAGAGAGAGATACATATATATATATAGAGAGAGATAGCTATACAGAGAGAGAGAGAAAGAGAGAGACAGAGATAGAGATAGAGAGAGAGAGAGAGAGAGAGAGAGAGATAGAGAGAGAGATAGAGATAGAGATAGAGATAGAGATATATATATATATATATATATATATAGAGAGAGAGAGAGAGAGAGAGAGAGAGAGAGAAGGAGATAGAGAGAGAGAGAGAGATACATATATATATATAGAGAGAGAGAGAGAGAGAGAGAGAGAGAGAGAAGGAGATAGAGAGAGAGAGAGAAGGAGATAGAGAGAGAGAGAGCGAAGGAGAGAGAGAGAGATACATAGATAGCTATACAGAGAGAGAGAGAAAGAGAGAGACAGAGAGTTAGTGAGAGATATAGATAGAGAGATGGAGATAGAGAGAAATAGATAGCTATAGATATAGAGAGATAGAGAGAGAGAGAGAGAGAGAGAGAGAGAGCAGGACAGATGCAGAGAGAGAGAGAGACAGAGAGAGAGAGAGAGAGATCGATGGATAGAGCGAGAGAGAGAGAGAGAGAGATAGATGGATCTCACATAGAGGAGAAAAGCGTCCGAACAAACAAATGAATCCATAACAACAGATGTTTAGTCTAAAGCTGCAGATGAACCGTGGGAACCTTCTGTGCATCAGTTCTTTGACCATAACGAGACAAACAGACAGACATCACTTCCTACTAAAATATTCACATCTCTCCATAATTATTCCGCAGCCCTTTTAAAAAGTGCCCACTCAAAAGAGATCCGTGTGGTGCCAACAGCGGACCGCAGCCGCCAAAACACTCCACACTCTGTCCAAGCTGCTCACACACACATTCATTAGAACTCCCAACGTCAATCACTTGGCGGGCGCTAACAAACAAGCTAGTTCCCCCGCGGTCTGTCTCCGTGCGTGCGTCTGAACCACACCAAGATGGCGGCTCCGCTGGTGATGCCTGTCACCTTTGTGTTCTCCAGCCCTTTCAGGAGACATGCAAATGTTCTCATGAATATGCATGAGGAGTTTGGAGGAGGAAGGAGAGATGAAGGAGGTGGGAGGTGACAGGGAGTTGGAAGAGTTTGGAGAGAGAGAGAGCAGAGAGAGTAGAGGGAGGGAGAGAGAGCAGAGGGAGAGAGAGAGAAGAGATAGAGCAGAGAAGAGAGAAGAGAGAGACCAGAGGAAGAGAGAGAGAGAGAGGTGCAGACCGAGTGTGTGGGAATTTGAAGGTGACTCCATTCGTTGCAACAGGTTTGCCAAACACAAAGGTGATAAACTACAACTGTAGCCACAGTCACCCCATCACAGCACTAACCAGGCCCTGACCTGCTTAGCTTCAGAGGTCTGACACGATCTCCTGCAAGCAAACGCTATGGACCTGGTTAGTGCTGTGATGGGAGACCTCTGGGACCTCTCCTGTACTGGCCTCGCTCCCATCTCTGAGTGGATTAGAGACAAAATGCCAAAAAACAATTGCTTTGTGACTCTGGGCGCTATATAAATAAACATTACTTAAGTACGTACACAGCTGCTATGAATTCCTGTGTTTGCAGTGAGACCAGATCCAGGCTCGTCTCCGGCTCTGGAGGAGGCCTTTCCATCCTCTCGCTGAGTGGTTAGCCTCTCTCCGGCCCTTATCTGTGAGTGTGTGTGTGGTCCATTGTTGCCACGGTGATTGCTGCTCTCTCCGGTTCAGACGTGACCAGTGTGTACTGTACCTCTTCATCTCTGTGTCTGTCCTGCTCTCTCTCTCCAAATGGTCTCTCTCTCCGGTCTTTCTCAGGTCCCTTTGTCCGGTCTCTCTCTGGTCTCTCTCTTCTCTCTCTCGCTGGTCTCTCTATGGTCTCTCTCTGGTCTCTCTCACTGGTCTCTCTATGGTCTCTCTCTGGTCCTTCTCACTGGTCTCTCTCTCTGGTCTCTCTCTGGTCTCTCTCTGGTCTCTCTCTGGTCTCTCTATGGTCTCTCTATGGTCTCTCTATGGTCTCTCTCTGGTCCTTCTCACTGGTCTCTCTCTCTGGTCTCTCTCTGGCCTCTCTCTGGTCTCTCTCTGGTCTCTCGCTGGTCTCTCTCTGGTCTCTCTCTGGTCCTTCCCACTGGTCTCTCTCTGGTCTCTCTCTGGTCTCTCTCTGGTCTCTCTCTGGTCTCTCTCTGGTCTCTCTCTGGTCCTTCTCACTGGTCTCTCTGGTCTCTCTCTGGTCTCTCTATGGTCTCTCTCTGGTCCTTCTCACTGGTCTCTCTCTCTGGTCTCTCTCTGGTCTCTCTCTGGTCTCAAACCCAGAGTGCAGCCCCAAAATGCATTAACATAATTGTGGATTTACCAAAAGCACATTAAAAAACAGACCATAAAAACCAATCCCACAAAAACACACATTTTCATAACAATTATCTAAGATTGCCGTTTCTCAGAAAGTCTCCGACAGAAATGAAATCCACCGTTACCTTCCATTAGACCGAGATACATGAGGAGGGAAAGACACACACCTGAACACACACACACACACACACACACACACACACACAGACTGTGTTTTTATTCATAAACGATGAGAAGAAAAAGCTGTAATTGTGTGTTTCACTGATACCCGAAAAATCAAAAGAAAGCAACGTGTGCGGTAAGTAATGACAGGTGTGTGTGTCTGTGTGTGTGTGTGTGTGTGTTGTGCGTCTGTTCAGGCTCCGTAAAGTGCTTCCTCGCCGTCGCTAAAGCACTTTCTGAAACTCACATTAAGCGTAAAGGCCTTAAAGCAGTTGGCACGAAAAGATGAGTTTGATTCATGTGTG